TGGGCTCATTACAAGCAAGTTGTAAGACATTATGCATATTTGTTCAAATATATGTCACAAATTTTTTCTCACAATTTATGTAAGAAATATTATCAAAAAATAAATGGTTAAATAAAAAATAAATAAAAAATAAATAAAAAATGCTCACATGAATTAAAAATGAAAAAAATTATGTGCAGTGGAAATTTCAATAGTGGAGAAAAGGGAAATTATTTCAATGACCTATTATTTCAATGACCTACTAGAATGAAAAAGATGTTTGTTTCGGATGGGTGAGACTATATTCGTCCTTTCCAATTCACTAACGTTAACGTGAATACGACCGGTTTTATTTAGAAAAAATTGTTACGTTTTGATCTGATTTCTATAAATTTCTCAATACTCTAATGTCCATACTTTTGTTTTTTTAAATATTTTTTATTGAATTTCATAACAATAAACTTTAAAACGTAACATTTTATAATAAAAATAGTGCATTATGACTTTGCCAAACAAGAGTGGATAATAGTGGGTCCTTTGATTTGAGTAATTTGTTTGCCACCAAACAGACCTCATGAAAGTTTGACATGCGTGAAAGCCCTTGCCCTCGCATCTCCATCATCTCTTCCTAAATATTCACAACATTTGCTTTTTCAGTAGTCGCGAGAACTTTTGTTTATTTCGACGTTTTCATTGGTTATTTGATAAAATAAAATATTTTTGACACCTCTTATTTCGAAAAAATTTTCATGTAGTTTTTTGATATGTAATTTTTATTTTTTATTTCTTTACCAATATGTAAATAAAATGAATTGAAAAAACTTGATATTTTGCCTCGGTAATAGAAATGTGACAAATAATTTGGGACGGAGGAAGTAACTTTTTACATTTTAAAATTATTTTTTTCCTGTTTCAAAATAAATAATTCAATTTTTATAGAATGTGTTAGATGGTATATGTTATTTCTATCATTTCTATATAAATTTTTATCAAATATTTTTGAGTTTTTAAATATATGTAAATCTTAAATTTAAAAAAATTATTTTGAGATAGAGATAGTGTAGGACAATAGGACTTATATATAGTCCAATCAAGTGCTAATTACTGCACTCTCTCGAGATATTCCATTCCAATCACGTAAAATAATTTGTGAAGTGATTTGGATATTTCAACATTTTTTTATGGACCAATGACCATGCTACATTTACACAAAAATACTCCGTAAAACTTACATATTTAAGAATTACGTCAAAAATTCTAGAAAACATGAATCAACAATAATATATCATGGGTGGCTCGAAAGATGTGCAAAGTGGCCAATCGCACAGAGTCCCTAAAATTTTAGAACCATATATTTTCAAATTCGACATTAATTTTAAAGCATAAGTATTCTAAAATAATAAAATAGTGCCTAAAATGTAAATTTTTTACCCGACCAATTTTATTTTTTTGGGGCCGGCACTGTAATATACAATTTTATCAAATGATTGATAAAAATATACAAATAAATAAAAATTTCAATAAATTTTAAATAATTAAGTGTGACATTTTTTAGAGAGGAAGGAAATACCGAGTAGTAAACTAAAAGTATGCTATTAGATAAACAAAAATCTTATCCCATTTAATCATCTACATGACTACATGTCCTACAACATCATCCCACGGGAAAGTAGCTTTTGAAATCACTCCTCTTTTTTCGATTTTGAAAAAGGTGGAACGCCCCAGACAGAATTGTGAGAAGATAAATCAGGGTATAATCTCAATATGGTTTTTGGAGATATCATCCTATACCTGATGTGCGGAAAAAACTATTGCAAATAATAGAACTTTCGTACTACCGCTAGCATCATTCAATTCTAAGATCAACAGATTTGAGATCCTCTCTTTGGATTAATTGAACTAGTCATGTGATTCTTTACCTATTCTACTACACCACGCGTCATGACAAAATAGTGACATAAGATGAGCACATATTGCATTCATGTGCAATTGTAAAATTAAATAATTTTTTTTTCTAAAATTGTGGTTTTAATATTATGTCATGGATCAAATTTAGTCAAAAATTTAGACCGGTTGTTGCAGTCTCAGGAAAAATTTTATACTCAATCCATCTTAAGGCTCAATCTTTTTTCAAGTAAGTTAAATTTGAGTTTCAGTTAAACAAATTTTGTAATATATATTAGCATAAGAATGATTTTATTGAATTAAACTTAGTGAAATCTTTCAAAAATTTAATTTCAATGTACAAATATATAATAGACGTTGAAAGTAATTCTTGTTTGTATATAAGAAAAAGCGAACTATTTAAAATGTCAACTATTGAAAAAAAAACTATTGAAAAACAAACATAGTTTCACCAACGTAAACATTTAACAATCTAACAAAGTATATATCAAATCTTGACCTAATTTAATTGACATTTCAACATTTTCAATTTCTCCAAATAAATGCTTAATGGGTTAGTCATTAGCTTTCGTTTTTTTGGTTGTGTTAACATTTTAATTATGTTTAAGGTAAACATTATACCCCGGATAGAGTAATAAACGTATCCTAAAACAATCATTTAAATAATTAAGATAAAAATGTTCAAAATTGTGAATTATTTTTGCGTTGGGATAAAAGCCAATATGTGTGAACGGCCCAATGATGAAATGGCCCAGCCTACAACCCAAATAGGATATCCTTAAAGAAATAGGAATTTAACGTCTCGAGATCTCGACTTGGGGTCCCGATGGTGTCCCATCTCGAGGGTCTCGTTCACACTCGGGTTGATTCATAAATGTGAGGTATTATGTAAGCAGGGCCAGTCCGCGGAGGACCGAACAGTCCTACCAGACCGGGCCTATTTATTTAGTGGCCCAATATTATCATATTCTATAGTCCAAATCTGGTTTCCTATATTTTGAAAAAAATAAAATGTTGCAAGTGTGGATTAAACCTAACACCTTAAGATATTAGAGCATAACTCATTAACTTTAACTACTAACCTTTCTGATTCCAAATTCACACACAAAGTTATATATTTCCGTATCGATTTCAATTAAACTTCTAATTTTTTAGAAAAAGAAAACACAATTATACGGTAAAACTTGTTTTATAAACTTTTAAAAATAGTTTAATAAAGAAATAAATAAATAAATTAGTAGAAAAATAAAAGGTTAAAATTATACCGTTCAAAAATTGACTAAAGGTTCTACAAAACAAGACGTGACAAGAATAATTTATTTTATCAAATGGTCAATCAAAACGAGTAAACAAATAAAAAATATCGAGATACTGTTGCTTATATTTTGGGACGAATGGAGTAAATATTATCAACTTAAGTGCAAAAAAATTATATACTCCCTCCGTCCCCCCGTTTTTGTCCACTTTTAAGTTTTGAAACTGTTCATCCAGACACTTTGACTCATCAAATTCTATCAAAGTGTAAGCCTAAATATAGTCATGTATGATCTTGTTTAATTTGTCTTAACATATAGATTATTAATATATAATTTCTATAATTTTTTAATATACAAATTACAAGATAAAATGGATTAAAGAAGTGCATTGGATGGTGTGTAAAAATGAAAGTAGATAAATACTCTCGAACGGAGGGAGCAAAAAGTTACAATAACTATTGTTTAAATGTAATGAATAATTTATTAAATTGTGAGAATTGAAAAAAAAGGGGGAAATATGTAAAATAAGTAGGGGTGGGTTCGGTTTTGGCGGTTCGGTTTCACCCAAAACCAAAGACAAAACGGAAGGTAAATTAGCGGTTCGGTTCGGTTCGGTTTTGCATAAAAAATATGTAAACCATTGGTTATTCGGTTCGGTTTTATACGGTTTTTATTTCGGGTTTTTTCGGTTTTTTCGGTTTATAAATGTAGAAATTTATAAGCATTAAAAAATTATAAAAACACTAACTCGAAGAAACAATAACAATATGTAGTGTTGGCTTTGGTTTTTGTTTGATTTTTACACAAACAAAAAATCAAACAGAATGTTATTGTTCCTTTCGGTTTAATTTTACATAAAAAATATGTATTGAGTGCCCAAAAAACATTTAGAAGATTCCAAATACTTCCAAAGACATCGTATGTAAAATCATTTACGAAGAATTTATATTTTTTGGTATAATACTTTCATTTTCATTATAACATCAAAGTATTTTTATGTAAATATGTAAATTACTCTTATCAATTTTTAATGTTAATATAATTCTATATTAGGATTAGCTATTGGTGTTCATATTCTTAGTTTTTTTTAAAGTATGGATAATAGAATGGCTAAAATGTTTAATTAATAGTTAAGAAAATAATTTTAATCGACTAGTAATTTATTTGCATTTATATTTCTATGATTTTTCTATATACCACATATATTCATATAAATAAAACGAAGTATCTAAGAAAGTTTGGTTTATTCGGTTCGGTTCGGTTTTTCAAAGGGAAAACCAAAACGGAACCAAACACTAACGGTTCAGTTCAGTTTTTTTTCATTTGGTTTCGATTTTTTCGGCTCGGTATTTTTTCTAGTTCGTTTCGATCGATTTCGATCCAGTTTGCGGTTTTCGGTTTTTCCAACCCAGCCCTAAAAATAAGTTGGGGATGAGTCGTGTATGACCACATAAGAAGCACACTAAACCCAAACCCCAACCCCATTAACGCACAAAGGCCGAAAAATCTCGCCTAATCTCCCTTTTCCGTTTCCAATTTTGGTCACCCCACTGTGCCACGATCTCTACCTACTTGTAACCGTTCCCCTTCTGGGTCACGAGGCTACTCTCGTCATTTCACCTCGCAAACCAGATCGATTATCTTTTGGCACGCCCATTAATGACTTTTATCTTTAATTGTCGTTTAGGCCAGAAATTATCCCCCACGAAATGACGATGGTCACGTGATTAGACACACACCTGCCGATAATGCGCCACGTGGTCTTTGTCCACGTCATCAAAGCCTCGTCTTCTTCTTCGTCTCACTCCCCTCCGCTCTATATAACCACTCACCGCTCCATTTTTTAACTTCAGCTTCTCGCAAAACGACCCCTATATTCTCATATAATTACAGAACACCTCTCATCTGGCCGGAGGAATACTCACTAGCCGGAAAGTGTACTTCTCCGGCTGATTTCCGCCCTTCGCAGATGCAATGTCCGTGCACAAGTTCACCGCCGTCACGTTGTGCGTGGATATCCGTAACGAAGACCTCTCTCTTCCCGGTGATCTTCAGCTTCATCAACTGCACGAAAAGCGATCGAGATCGAGAGGAGGTATCAATGAATTAACGGTGTATCAATTTACTTTTAGCGTTTATGTAACTAGCTCGGTCAATTTTGATCGGATTCTCTGGCCGGCGGAGGAAGCTGATTGTTTCCTTGATTCCGAGTCTCTTAGTTGATCTCTGTGAAAATTGAGGCGTAGAGCTCAGTAATTGGTACTGAATTGCTCGAGGAGCTGAGAGTGAGTGTGTCTGTGTCTGTGCAGGTTTAATTTAGACTCTGAGCGAGTCGGAAAGTACAGATTTGGTAGAAATTAAATGCCGATGATGAAGATTCAGCCGATTGATTCCATACCATCATCGATCCGTGGAGATGCTGCGAGGCCGCTGCCTAAGTCGCGAATTAGGAGGTTTTTTGATCGACCTTTCACTAGCGCTCTGCGTAGCTCATCGGCGTCGGAGAAATCTGCCGCCGCAGCCGGAGGAGGAGTTGCAGTACCGTTCGGGAAAGATGGAGCTCCTTCCGCCTCTGTGGAGTTTGAGCCTAGCTCTGTTTCCTTGGATAAGATGGTCCGGAGTTTCATAGAGGAGAGCAATGAGAGGCAGCCACCGTCTAAAATCGGACGCAACCGCTGCAATTGCTTCAACGGCAACGGCAGCGACAGCTCCGATGATGAATTCGATTTCGCAACCACCGGATTTCCTGATTTCCTCGCCAACTCTTCCTCCTTCGGCGACTCGTCTGATAGCATCAAGGTTCTTAGTTTCTGCACAAATCCCTAATCCGATCAAATTACTGTAATATTTTTTCAATTGCCGGTTGATTGTACAGTTTGATTGATGTGTCGTTTTTTACCCTGGCTGGAACAATCCAGAACTTGATTCCTTGTGTAAGTGTTGCGGAGAGGAATCTCTTAGCCGACACCTCCAAAATCATCGAGATGAACAAGGCTTGCAAACGCAAAGACGATCTCCGGTTAATCGTCGCCGATGGCCTCTTAGCTCTCGGCTACAACGCTTCCATCTGCAAATCCAAATGGGAAAAAACTTCATCTGTTCCTGCCGGTACTTGCAATTTACTTGTTTGCCGTCGCAATTGTTTCAGTCATATTTCCCTTTCAATTCTGAAAATCTGCGTTTGATGCAGGAGAATATGAGTGCGTGGATGTGATCATTGAAGGAGAAAGAGTGATGATCGATGTGGATTTCCGATCGGAATTCGAGATTGCGAGATCAACCGGGAGCTATAACGCCGTTCTTCAGTTGCTGCCGCTCATATTCGTCGGAAAAGGTGACCGTCTTCTGCAAATCGTGTCGATCATGTCGGAGGCTGCGAGGCAGAGCTTGAAGAAGAAAGGTATGCACATCCCGCCCTGGCGCAAAGCTGAGTACATGAAAGCAAAGTGGCTCAGCCCTTACACCCGAACTTATCCTCCTCCGCCGTCTCCGCCTCCGCCTCCGACGGAGAAGACCGAACCAGAACCCGAACCTAACGCGGAATCCGAAGCCAACGAGGCTGAGGCCACGGCTGGAGCTGAAGTTTTGAGCGAAGGAGGAGAGCTAGACCTGATATTTGGAGAGAAGACAACGTCGTTAGAGGCGTCACCGGTGATTCCATCACCCCCGGCTACACTTTCCGAGGCATCTCCGTCGCAGAAACAGGCGGAGATGATGATGTGGCAACCGCCGGCGATAAAGCCCAAAAGTTGCGAAAGAGGCAGTCGGGTGGTGGTCCCCGGATTGGCTTCCCTTCTCAAGGAGAAACCATAAAGGAGGAAATAAATTTTGATCCTTTCTTCTTCTTTTTTTCTTTTTTTTAAATGAAAAAATCTCCCGAGATAATTTTTACAATTTTTTTTTCAAGTACAGAATATATATATATAAATATAATTATAAACCCTATATAGAGCTGGGGAGACTCAATTAGACCACTTTTTTTCTTTTTGGTTTCAGCCCCTTCTTTTTTTGTAAGGGTTTTTTTGGTAAGATGTATGGAGCAAAAATTCTTCAGGTGAGAGGGCATTTTTGCGGTAATAAATTTTTTAGATAAAAAAAAGAGTAAATAAAAAAATAAATAAATGCGTGGACTACTCCGGATGCAATTTGTGTGCATATTCAATATTTGCCTTTTTTTCTTTTATTTTATTTTTTGAAAGATTCAATAAGCCATCTTAATTGAACGGTGAATTATTGCTTCCGCGTTCACGTGATTTTGTTTTTATAGAAAGAAATAATAGATGGAAACAAAAGCAATAATACGTACTTACAGATGGGTATTACGGAGTAAAAAATGTAAAAGTAAAAAATACGGAGTAATAGAGTGAAGTCCTCCTATACTCCAATAGTCCAATCTTTCATCTTTATATGAAAGTTTATCATGAACATTAAATTATACTTGCAAGAATTTGTGAAAAAAATAAAAAGATGGAGCAAGCAAGGGACAAAGAAAATAAGAAATCCAACTATAATTTTACATATACGCTGCTCACCCATAAGAAAAATGTCATCAATATAGAGACTAATATTTATTACTCTCTCCGTCCCAATAAAGATTTACCTGATTATTGATTGAAGGTTGAAATTCAATAATCATTTCTTTGATTTGTTATTGTCTTCCTTTTTGTGAATCTTTTGATATATATTTTTTAAATACGTAAAATAATCATTCATTTTTTCATATAATTGGATTGAATATAAACTGGGTTAAGATTTGTTATGTGCGTGGGCAGCAATTCCTTAGTATTAAAAGTTTATTTAGTGGAGTTTTTTTAGTTAGGAGTATTAACAAATAACAACAAACTTAGAGAAATTTTTTATGCCACGAAAAGGGTATACACACACACACATATATATTCACACACGCACACACACGATTGCTTGTCTAAAATTCCATACTCAGCAGCTCGTGGTCCTTTCAAAGTTGGTGCTAAACAAAAGTCAAAGAAATGATAGTTTATTTGCAAGTACTTGACCGGTTATATTCAAAATGGTTTGGTTGTCTACTTAAGGAAGAATGTTAGAGTGCATATCACATCAGAAGTTCAAGAGCAAAATAATTGAAATATAAGCTCTTGAGTTGAACAAACTAATCGATTGAATTCAATTTTTTAATGTGGTTCAACCAAGTGTCTTATTGGTCAATCCAGTTATCTATGTACCATCCTAAATTTTATCATTAAACATTTTCTAGACATATAGTAATAAACTTTAATTTGTGGTTATTGGTTTCAAAACAAAACCACATATAACTATATAAGTATATTTCAATATTTCATCCATTTTTTAATGGTACTTAGGGCTGTCAACGAATAGCTAAAAATCCAATTACCGTCCGCATCCGTATCCGTTTAAAGAAAAAATATCCGCATCCATTTTAAACGGATATTATCCGTATCCGATAAAGATTGCAAATCACTAGAGAGTTTTCTAGAATTGAAAAAATGAGTCTCTTTTTCAAACGTCCAAAACAGAAAATGAAGAATCTTTTTAAAATTGGAGTATATAATTTGATACATTGAAAATGAATGAACATAAAATTATAATTCAGACACACTTTATGAGAGCTTGACAGATGCATTATACACATAAATTCTTTTTGTGTGACTCATAGTCATTCTATTGTGCAATTTTTTAAAAAGCATACTCCAAAGTGTAGACTCCAACATAGTCATATTTTTTACACTAAAAACTTATACCTGATTAATGAATTGGATAAATGAATAAACCTTATTTTTAGACAAAGAAAAAATAAAAAACATAATGCAGAGGGGGAGGGAATACCCCGAATACTCGGTAGTGGAGTAAATTAGTAAAACGAGGCAGGTAAAAAAAAATGTACGGAGTATTGGAAAAAATGAAGGGGTGCATATCCAAATGTTTGTTTACAGGGGAACACAAGGCTGAGAACAAGGAAGGAAAGAAAGAAAGATGCCCCTTTTCTTTTTCTTCTTTCTTTCTTCTTCTTGATTTTATGTCCTTTTGTTTATGGGGAAATGTATGTAGAGATTGTAAATAACTCACAACAATGTTACGTTTATATTTTGATGACCTACATTAACACATAATAAAATTTAAGTGTAAAATTTAAGTCATTAATTTTGCACTTGTATTCATATAAAATACTTCTATGAGTGTAAATTTTTAAGTACGATCTTTAGAGTACATGTTTTATTCAATAATTTAAGGCTAAATCTTGTTGATGTTTGGGTGGAGTTGGTGAAGGGGAGTATGGGCTATGTATGATGGCCCAATTGGTTGACGACAAGGCCTGTGTCGTCCGATTAGTTGACGACAAGGCTCGTGCCGCCTCGAGCAATGTTAAGTATCACACTGTTACGCATTCATTTCATTTCTACTCGATTACAGATTTGAATATTCAGTTTGTTAGTTGAATTTTATCCTTAAAATAGTGTGCGTGAACCGATATGCCCATAAAGAACAAGATCTGCAACTTATGATCAATGAAAATAAACTTTAAAAAGTGTTGCTAAATCCAACCCAAAAATGAATATATCCACTCTTTCACTTAAATTTGCTAAGTTCACACTAATATTGGTTATCTTAATGAGTGTGGATTTAACAAATATAATAAAAATGTAGAGATATAACTATTTTTGGGATGTATTTATCAAAACCCTTCAAAGAAATGAATAGACTATCTCAATAGTAAATGTACACATGTTTATCCAAACAAATGGAGTAATATTTGTTTTTGTATTTTGGCAAGATAGGAGGAGTTCATGGAGTAATTTTATAAAAATACCAATCCTAGAAAACATGTAAGAACAAATATTAAATTGTAAATAGCATTTAGTATTGCGTACTCTCTCCATTCTTTTTAAACTGTTTGTTACGCTTTACGTGTCAAATGTTTGATTAACTATATATAAAAATATATAATGAAATAAAATACAAAAATTATACTAAATTTTTGGTATCAAAAATACTTTTAATGTAGTATTTTTAATAATCTTTAGTTAGTATATTTTAATGTAAAATTTGCACTAAATAGGACTAAAACATAATGACTTTTCCAATGTAGGACTTAAACTTTTTTATTAAATAGGACTATTTTAATTGATATTGTTAGTCAAATATTAAGCTCGAAAAAGACTTTTTTAGAGTAGATAATTTTAAAACCAATGAAAACGATGTATAACTAACGGAGAAAATAAACAACGTCCCTGCCCGATATATAACTACTTGATATGAGATAAATTAAATGCACACCAAACTCGAAATTCTCACCCGAAACTCGAAGTTCTCTCGGTAATAGTTTGGTTCGGACATACGGTTCGGGAAAAAAATGGAAATCAATTTTCAAAATGATGAACCCATATTCATAATAATCCCTCAAGACTAACGAGACAATTAATTGAGAGGAGGTAAACAAAATTACAACCCATGAATGGATTCCATGCTTTGAATGGTTACCTTATCTCAGACACTAGACTCTGATCTTAAGATATTTTTCTCTGGACATTGTTATGCTAACCAATAAGCTATTTTAAGAAGACACATTAATTTTTTAAAAAGAATGAACCTCATTCCGGAGGGTCCCCTTAGATCCGGCCGGAGGGTCATTGAGAGAAGGTAAATTAAACTTTAATCGCAGATTGGTGACAAAGAGTGCAGTCCGCACCTGATACTTGCAGAGAACATATGTTTAGCATAGTTCTCTTCCCATCCAGTTGTCATAAATCAAGCTCAGATCTTATCTACTTGAAACTCCTTGCCTTGCCAACTGTGCATGATCGATTTTCAAAGTTTTAAAAGGGAGTGGTAGGGTCAATGTGCGTTGTGGGCTCACTTTCATCATATTGTTCTTTAAGTAATGAAGGGCCCCACTAAAGTGTCCAAAGGAAAAATAAAATTAAAATAAAACAAAAGCAATTGGCTAAAGTTTGACAATAATGACCCCTTTATGAAAGTTACTCTCTACCAACTCTGCCATCATGGTGTAGAATACAGATTGCTTGCGCATACTGCAATTCATCTCTGAAAAAGAGAGAGAGGCCTTTAATCCATTTGAACAAGTGTAAAAATGCTTCTTTAAAACTGAAATTTGAAACTCCTTCCTCCCTTCTAAAAAGAATATCACATTTTATTATTTAAAACTTGTGAGAATTTTTATTTGCTTGTACATTTTCATCAATTACTTATTCTTGTAACATATTGTTTTGAAGAAATTTTGACGTATTTTTCAATATATAAATTGTATTTTTTATTTCTATATCATTCTTCAAATAAAATAAATTTTAAAAACTTTAATTTTATTTCAAGTTTAGTGTAACGCGACAAACATTTTGAGATCAAAGGAGTACTAAGATGGACATGAGTATAGAATTTGTTTGAATTGTAAGATAGTCCGCGTTCTTGAAATGTTAAATGAATCAATTTTGAGTAGTATCGATTGTGCCATAGTAACATAAACCTTGAGAAACGCATAACTTTAGGGCTTGTTCTTTATGAGTGCAAAAAAAGAGTTGAGTATTTGGAAGATAAGAAACTAGAAAAACTGGAAGAAATTAAAACAATCTGGAAGGAACTAGTAGGAACTAGAAGAATTCGAAATGTAAGAAACTAGAAAAACTGGAATAAACTGGAAAGAACTAGAAGGAGTTTGTTAGAGTGCATCCCACACCGGAAGTTCAATAAACTGGAAAGAACTAGGAGGAGTTTGTTACAGTGCATTCCACACCAAAAGTTCAAAAATTAAATAATCGATATATAAGCTCTTGAGTTAAACTAACTAATCGATTAGATTCAATCTATTAATTAGTTCAATTTAAGAGCTTATATACCAATTATTTTTCTCTTGAACTTTCGATGTGGGATTCACTCTACCAAAGTTAGAAGGAATTGAAAATAGGAAAATCTGAAGAAAAAAACTTTTAAAAAAATTATTTAAGTTTTTTTATATTATCCTCGTTCTAATTTTTGTTGTTATACGAGTAATTTATTAATTAATATTATTAGTATTATTATCATATTCATAATCATGTTATCTTAATCAATATAATGTCATTAAGATAAAAAAAATATTGTCATTGTTTGTGACATGTTAGAATATTAAAAATTTTCTTTTGTTTGTGACTCTCTCGCAATTGTTCTTTTATTTTTGTTTGAAATTATTTTCCCACTTTTCTCATTCCCTTTTTAGAAAATAATACTACTTCGTACTCCTCATGTGATCTAGCATATTTCACTTTTATTTAATTAAAATTTATTCACTCGTTAGTTTCTATAATAAAAAAATTACAACTTTTTAGTTTCTATAAAATTAAAGTGATCAAAGTTCCATGCTAAATAGAATAGAAAAAAAGACCCGGACTAAAATATTATATTAACTAGAAAACAAAAATAGAACCTCCCAGTTTTTATCCCAAAATAGGTCTTATATTGCCGAAAATGCTAACATATAATACTACCAGAAAATTATTGTGCAATGTCATTATATACTAAAATCATTCTAATTTAGAGAAAAAATTATTTCACTACAATTTTGGGGATAAAAGCTACGGAGTATGTTTTACTTTTTTTTTGTGATTTTTAAGAAAAATACTAGTCACAAACAAAAATATCACAAAATTACAAATTTACTATCCCTTAATCATGCCAAAATAAAGAAATGGTCTCAAATAATTTAAACAATTAAAATTTAAATTCATTTGTTGGTAATGTTAGGGTTCCTGATTTCTTAATTACAATTTACGAATATGGAGAATGTTTTCAAACGGACCTGTATTTATTTAAAGCCCATTTATGCTGACACTAATACAGGAAGGATAAATATATTCTTTTAAGTATAGATCCACCGCTGAAATCTAAGCCCAATTTTGCGGATTGATAAGTATGAAATTGTTTCTACGATTCGAATAAAAAAGGCCCAATACAAATATGTTGAGAAGTCCTATTTGACAATATTTTTAACGTTTGATTTTCGTATTATACAAGTGGTATCTAATGATAACGATAGTATTTGTGTTTAATATTTTTTTAAATTAATCTATTTTTAGAAAAATTATGTAAAATAATAACCTTAATTGAAGATATTATTCTCAAACAAGGCAAAAATCTAACATCTCTTTTAATCGTCACTTGTCACCCACATATTGATTTATTCCATTTTAATCACTCGAGCTCAAATACCAAACCCATCAAAATCAATTGCCCCGTAGGACACGGAGTATTTCACACTAATATGTCAAGCACAAAGACATTTGGTTTTATGAATTATGACAAAGACATCATTTCCTTTTTCAAAGTTTGTAAACTTTGACTCCGATACATAAAAAGTATATTGTATTATAATTTAAATTTAATATTAATGTATTCCTATTTGAACATAGTTTTGAAATATCAATTTTTTTATAAAATATATCTATCTATAAATATAGATACTAATGGTCAACATTCAATAAATGAGAAGAACATTTGTGAACGGAAGGAATATCTAATATGTCAAATTTATTGTTTCACAATGGTAATGATTATCTATCAAAATCTTCTCTATCTTGAAGTATTTTATTTCATTCAATTCTCACATTATTATATTTTCATTATTTATCTGCACTATTGGTTCTTTTTATAAAAAAATTACCTCAATAGAACCACCCAAAAAAACATAAAATTTATACTAAAATAAAACTTCATGTATTTTTATCTCTTAAATAGGAGTGCTAGCAGGTACTGAAAGTCTTATTTTATGTAGGAAATAATAACGGTCAAATTAAAATTTTATATCTCAAACATGTGTTAGTCTGATATCAAATATTTATATCTCAAATAAGCTCTATAGATTTTTGCTTGAACTTATTGATTTTGATATGATCTGAATCTTTCTTGTGTGATCAGATCTGATCTCATTTTTGTTAAAAGTAAAGTTTTCTTCGGTTTAAATTCTTCTTGTTTGATTAGATTTGATCACATTTTTCTTGAAATTAAGGTTGTTTTTCATCCGGTCTAATTTGGTCTAAGCCTTTAATTTCTTATGTGGTCTAATCGGTTCAAATAATAATCTCCGCAAGAAATAAATAGAAAAAATAAGGTGAAGAGAACGAAGTCGTACATCCATATAAAAAGTAATATCTTTTCTTTCTACCCCGTATTTATTAATTTACGTGCAGGATCACATTGAGAAGAAAATTCTTTAGACATCAAGCATGTAAATACAAGTGGCGGATCCAGAAAAAAACCATCGAGTACCATTAATTCCTCAGAGTGGCACAGGAAATTGGTGGATCTCATCCATCCATGGGTTCTTCTCCATGCCCGAATCAATATTCTTCAAAGCACGCCAAACGGCGCTGTTACATTTAAAACCTGACCCGAATGCGATTTGCCATATCCGGTCTCCCTTTCGGATCCTCCCTTTCCCCTCTGTGTAACCGAGTTCGTACCACAACGAACTGCTCGACGTGTTCCCGAATCTGTAAAGCGTCATTCTAGAAGGTTCCATTTGCCACTCCCCAAGTTCTAGATTCTTCTCAATCGCGTCGAGCACTGCTTTCCCTCCCGCGTGTATACAGAAGTGCTCGAATGCCTTCTTGAAATCCGGAATGTAAGACTTTATCTTGACCCCAAAGGAGGTGAAAATCTTCCTCGCGACAAGTGTGAGGAAGAACATCACCTGCTCTGAGATGGGGAGGACGAGTGGGCCCAGGGTGGTGATGTTCACCTTCAGGGCCTCGCCCGCCACCCCCATGAGGTCTTTGGAAAGAGCGACACCAACGACACCTTTGTCGTCCTCTCTCAGAAAGACACAGGAGTAGCTGTTGTCGTCGGCGCCCTTGTTTGACCGAACGGTGCGGAGGAGCTGGTACTTGGATCGGCAGAGGTCGGAGGGGCGGTTGGAGAGGAGCACGGCGGCGCCGCCGTGACGGAAAATGCAGTTGGACATGAGCATGGCGCGGTCGTTGCCCAAGTAGCAGTTGAGTGTCTGAACCTCTAAGCTGACTACTAGTGCGCACGTGTTCGGTGTCGCCTGCATGCATGTGACACACATCTCATGAAAACTGAAGACACGTGGACTTTTTTGAAAGGTGAATAAGATATATTTTTTGAAATTTAATATTCTCCACGTCTGCGTCTGAAAATGTTCTTCTAATTAGATTTTTCACAGTTTTTCAGTGTTGTACTTTGACCATTAATATCTATACTTATGCATAGATATATTTTATAAAAGTTTGATATTTGAAAACTATGTTTGAATATGAATATATTGGTATTAAATTTACATCACAATACAATGTATTTTTTATATATATTAAAGTCAAAATTTACAAACTCTAATTAAGAATAATCAAATAAGAAGAAGATTTTCAGACGTGTATGAAATTTATTGAATAGATCTCGAAAATAGAAATGGATAGTGAAAGGTGGGAGCTGAGATGGCCTATGGTGTGGTGATAGTCGGTAGTTGAAGGAGATAATAAAATCTTGTACTATTTCAGTTTCAAAAGTTATTCACATTTCACTTTTTGGTCATCTTTCAATTCTAAACACTTTGAATACATCTAGTTATAATATAAATTTATTATAATTGAGTCCATTTTAAAAGGTTTGACTTACTCGAAGCTTAAAAAATATTTGTGGTTGAAAGTGATGCAAATGAGATGGAAAAAAAGGTGAGTTACAAAAATTTTTACAAAAATGAAAAGAGGAAAATTAATTTTGAATAGTCTAAAAAGAAAATAAGGAAGAATAATTTTAGACAAAAGCAGTATAAAGATATACTCCGTAAAAGTTAAGCCTTAATATTTGCAACCAACATAAAACTTTTAATATAGTACTCTCTTTGTCTCAATTTAAATCGTGTGCTTCGTTTAACGATATTTTGTTGAAATTATTTTCAAATCATTTTATAAGAAAAATGATGTAGAATCCAAAAATAAAAATTAATATTTAAAAACTATATCAAAAGATCTACAAAACTATTGTATTAATTATTCAATCTAATACCCGGGGTCCATGTCATGGGTTGACCCGGGGCTACTACGATGTTCCGTTTTTAAAATTGACGGTTCATACACCTAACTCCCCGATAAATCTCCCCCACCTCACCGCGACACGAACATACCCTCCACGTATCACCTTCAATTGCACCCCTGAATAAATTCGGCTCAAGGTCAAGCTAACTTGGGGGTGTAATTGAAGGGGTGTGGGTGTGTTCGGTTTGATGCGGGATGAAAGGGGAGAGGGTTTACCGGGAACCATCATTTTTACAAACATAATATCGTAGCGGCTCGAATCATCTTATGGCATGGAGTTCCAATGTCATAGGAACTCATTCGATACAAAATTTAGACAAAATCAAATTAAAAATGGTTTTCGAGTGAGGAAGAATTTAAGAATCGTAACCTAAAACCCTTACACAACAATTAATGGCGCTCCATCGATCCTAGTACTACCACCACAAGTATGTACATTTAATTATTGCAATAACCACATAAATGCTACGCTCAGATTTTGTTAACCTGCGTACAGTTTTGGCATTACATTTGTCATTTCAGTCGCATTGCACACACTATCTTTCGTACGTTGGTTTTAGTCTTTGCCCACTGTGTTATATTCTCCATCCATGGTAGAAAAATGATGTGGTTTAATTTCACAAAATTTATTAAAGTTCTTGCAAAAAAAGAAAAAAAATACATGGTTTATTTAGTATTGTAAGTCAATTAATTGCTTACTTTGATGAAAAAATTATTCTAAAATAAACAAATAAAGAAAAGGAGGAGTCGAATTTAGTTATTATGATGCCAAAAAAAGGAAATTAGGCAAAAAGATTGGTGTAAAAAATGGGATACATTAGTCTTTTTACGAACATATTGTGAGGTTAAATTTGATCGCACTTATATTGAACTTAACCCTAACATTGTTGTTACTAGGAATCAAACTCAATGAATATAGAGAGGATAAATGTTGATATTCATTCCACTTTTGATGCATCTCTCAAAAATTATACTCCCTTTATGCTGGTTTATATTTTTAATATTAATTTGAGCATCCCGACAACTTTTCTCTACTTGTGCGTTTTCATTGATCATTTGATAAAATAAAATATTTTTATCTCATTTTATTTTCTAAATTTTTTTATGTAGTGTTTGAATATGTAATTTGTATATTTTATTTCTATATCAATTTATAAATAAAATAATTTTAAAAAAGATAAATTCTGGATATTATTCATTGAAAAATTGTGTATGGGTGTGAGTGTGTGTATATATATATAATTATAATATAGATTTAGGAAAAATGGGTTCAAAAAGTTTGACTTTTTGGTCAAATTGTGTTACACTTTGGCCATAAATTATAAAAAAAATATTTAATTATAATATAGATTTAGGAAAAATGGGTTCATTTTAGAATAACAAATTTTATAGCATTTAATTATTTATAACATTTAATTATTTAAAATTATATTTAAAATCATTGTGTTACACACTTTTACTAAAAAAGTCGAATGATTTTTTTTTTGGGAGGGAGGAGGAAGAGAGTAATTAAAAGTTGAAACCTGAAGGAGATGTTTGGCAAGGTCAATAGAGATGAGGCCTGCACTGCAACCCATGCCACCAAGATTGAAGCTCTTCACACTGCTCTTGAGCTTGTAGTGGTTAACCAGCATGGCGGAGAACGACGGGGTTGAGTTAAACAAACTGCAGTTAACAATGACAATCCCAATCTCCTCACCCCCCACCCCTGTCTTCCCAAGCAGCTCATCAACGCACCCAAAAATCACCACCGCAGCCTCCTTTTTGGCCACATCCAAACACGCCGTTGAGGGGACGCTCAGAATGGACTCTGGGAAATAGGTCTTCTGCCCCAGCCCAGACCTCTCCAGGATCTTCTTCTGGAACACCAGATTCTCCTCTGTGAAAATGTTGGCCTGTCTTGACCTCTCGAGGTACCTCTCCGTAGGGCACATCAGTGCAGGGGGTGGCTTGTAGCATGCAAAGTCCATCAAGAAAACGTCCCTTGGCCTGCTCAAGAAGTAGAGCATGCCCAAGAGAAGGGCAAGGCACGAGGATGCGATGACATGTTTGAGGTTTAGGACCATGTCCTGCAAGTTAAGGGCAGAGCAGTGGGAAGTGAGTGTCCCTAAGAAGGGGAGGGCTAGGAGGAGGAGATAGACCAAGAAATGGTAGCCAGGCTTTGTGTGTTTTTGTCTAAGGGAATTGAGAAATTTTTTCATGAGTTCCAATGATGGCATTCTTTTGTGATCTCCCATTGTAAATTAAATAGGGGAATATTATGATTGAAGGGGGGGGGGGGGGGGG